GTGGGGTCCTTCATGATGCAGGTGGCCCTCTTCCTGCATCTGGAGGTGTAGATGTCTGTGATGGTGGGGAGGCTGATACCGACACACACATAATATATATATATATATATATATATATACACACACACACACATATCTATATATATATATATATATATATATATATATGTATATATATATATATAATTTTAATAATCTGTATTCTTTATAATTTACCCGAAATTTCTAAATAAATTCTCATCCTGTACTGAAACCTGTTTCAAGGTCTTACTGCCACCAGCTGGTAAGGCGGGTGACATCAATTTGAACCCCGCCCACTAGAACCAGTACTAAAAGTATAATGGAAAAACAATGTGTACCGTACCGAGCAGAGTCGAACTGTGCTGTACTGGTACCAAAGGTACTAATGGAAAAGAAGCATATGTGAGTGTGCTGCTTGTGGGACCGAGTTTGTTGTGGCTCCTCCAAGTGATGAAGTCCTTTGGATGAAAGACGAAACATCCTAACAAAAAAAAAAGAAGAGAAACCATCTAGATGACCTGACTGAACTTTGTTGGATAACGAAATTACCAATTTTAAACAAATTAGTTGAGAAACAGGAAGTTATGCCAGTTTTAGAGGAATAAAAAGATGCACATTTCTCTCCGACCTGATTAAACCGTCCTGATTCCGGAGCTACAGTAACAACGTTCGTGTCATGAAAGCTGCTCAGAAGAGTTTAAAACAAATTCTTACTTTTCGTTTAATGAATCCAAAATGTCTGACGTGTGACTTGTGATTTCTGCAAACTGAGCCACACACATGACGTCACCTGTCCCAGTGGTTGGGGATTCTCACTGGATTCAGTCGACTTTGTTTACATTGAGTGCGTACCTGCATTTCAAATGGCACCCATCCCGTTCATGCACTCCCACTGGACTAAACTCCTTCAGTCATTTGTTAAACTTCAGGAGGAAGGTTTTTTTTTTATATTTGATCTCATACTTTGCAGTAAAAAAAAAAACGCTGTGTCTGCATGTGCACCAAATGCAACAACTTATCAAAGTCCTGTAAAGTTTCATGCACGTGTGCGCTGAAGGAGTGGGGGTCCGGTTTTCTGAAAGGACACACCTTCAGCTGCTGCAGCTCCGTGTGTTTCCCTGGATGTCAGCTGAGGGCGACAGAGGGAGGTGTCCCCCCCGCTTCCCAAGATTTCCCTGAGTCCACAATAAACTTTCATTTCGAAAAGTTTTCTCTCACACTCACACATACACACACGCGCGCGCGCAACCTCGGTCATCTTGGAGCTGCAGCCACGGTTCTCCTGCACAGCTGAACCTTGTTTTTATGTTTTTATTTATTTTAGAAAAGGAAGCGCACAGGTGGAACGCACCTTTTTTTTTTTTTTTTTTATACTTTTTTATTTTTTTTAAGTCTTTATCTTGTAAAGGAGGCTGCAGAGAAGAGGAACCACGGGACAATGACACCAGGCAGGAGTCTCTGCGTGGGTTAATCGCGTTGTTTGTTTGTTTATTTGTTTTGTTGCACGTTGACTCCTCGCGCGAGCCTGAAGCAACACCTGGGATGGAAAACTTCGCCTCCTGCGGACGGACATAAAAACTCTGCGGGAAGAATGAAGTAATGGAGCCGGACAATGCCCCGCACTCCAAACTCAAAGCCGCTGGAGTCGGGGGGTGAGTGGACACATCCTTCCTTAAAACACTTTTCAAAATAAAAATAAAAAATCAAGACTCCTCTCTATGAGTTTAAACTAGAGACAGTGTGACGAAGGAACGACGTGATTATTGTTGAGAACAGTTGGGTGAGCTGTTTGAAACCGTCTGAAAAGATGCGCGGATGTGATTTGGAGCCTGAAGGGAAAGTTTAATAAGTTGCAGAGAAGAGGAAGTGGAGAGAGTTCAGTGGAAGTGTGTGCAGCTTGTTCTGGGACTGATTTGAGGGAGATGTGTGGACTAGAGGAGGAGACAATCATCTCCTTTTCCCTTTTCTCTCCTCCCTGCTGTGTTTCACCCAGCTGGCGGCCTGATGTCCCAAAGGAGAGAGGAAAAGTCCAAGTGTTGCATCATATCACCCTGACACAACCACTAAGACTGGACACCCCCTGTTCCTGCTACTAATATGACTTTAGTTTGACATGAAAAGCAGAACTTTTTCAAATCATTAACTAGTGGTTGACCAACATTTTTCTGTGGCTTTCTGCAAAAACTAATAATAAATAAAATAAACTCCTGCCACAATTGTCATTGGGACTCTGACACTCGCTCTGTGGAGCGATTATCTCCGGGGTGTAAGAATCCAACATGGCATTGATGTTAGTTATGATGTATGCCCCCAAGTGTCTGACTCTTGAACTTTCATTCATTCTCGGTTTTGAATGTGTTTAAAAAAAAAAGTGTGGCCCAGAAATGCAGTGGTGGTTCTAGGGGGTGGCACAGGGTGGCAGCTGCCACGGTAAAATATAACTGTAGCGGCTAAAATCCTATATTTTAGGCTACTGGTTGCCGTTGTTCCTGGTAGGCTTTGGTTTTACGTGCGCTCAATCAAGATTCACTATGCAGATCTTCATTTCGACTTATAAATCATAAAATCATTTATTTACCTCACAATGTCCATTGCCATTCCATTTAGAAAACAAATAAATCTGCCTTGACTCTAAACTAAGCACAGTAGAAAACTGTTTGCCCCTTCTCATTAGCAAAACCTGAACAGAATCACACCTGCCCTTAAGTAACCAGCTTCTTCTGCTGACATATTCAGTACACAAAATGAAATGCACCCTCTAGTGGAGATAAACAAAATAAATGGCTCCAACAATAACTTTTCAGTCCAGTTTCATCATATTTCTAGGCTGGTTAATATAATGTACATTTTTTACAATGCTGAATTTGTATATTCATTATCTTAACCCGCTTGTTCCATTTTGGGTCACGGGGGTCACTGGTGCCCATGTCCAGCAATCACTGTGCAAGGGGCGGGGTACACCCTGGACAGGTCGCAAGTCCATCACAGGGCCTGAATTTGTATATTAACTTCTTTTTTTTAAACCAGATAAATCCTATTAAGATCACAGGTATCTATTTCAAGGGGGGCCTGACCCTGAAGGCAACCTAACATGCATGTTTTGGACTGTGGCAGGAAATCGGAGTACCTGGACAAAACCTATGCAAGTGCATGCAAAGTCCACACAGAACGACCCCAGGCCCAAGCCAGGGATTGAACCTAGGACCTTTTTGCCATGAGGCAACACTGCTAACCACGGAGCCATCACGCAACAACTGTAATCTAGTTGTGTGTTTCTACCCCTGAAGCACAACTTTCATCAGTCCTGAGAGTTTCCAGACAAGCTGACAAATCTGAACAAAAGATAATGTAAAAAAACATGTCTAGTTTATTTATTCCATTATTAGAAGATAATGATCAAGGTCAATCCTGGAACAAAAAGAATAGACCCAAGTCTTGTCATGTTACTATGCTATTTGTTTAATGTGTATCACTAAGTTCAAAAAAATAAACTATTTAAGTAGGCAACAGGAAGTTCCACATGGCAACACTTTAGCCTTAACATAACGTGCCGTGCAAACAGTCTCAATCTGTTGTACCATGTAGAGAGTGCATCCTAGTGTCGATTCTGTTTTATACTCGACCAACAGCCAATAAAACAACCTCCACCACCCGCAAGCACCAATCATGATAATGAAGTGCTCTCAGAAGCCTTCAAGTTATCTTAATTTCCGTCAGGAACAACACACTTTACTACCTTTTTGTACATTATTTGTGGTATTTTATTCTGCATACAACAAATAAAGATTGCTACTTGGTAAAATAAATGGAAGTGCTGTCATAATCACCATTTAACAGTAGACTCTTGCAATATTGCAAAGGTGGTTGTGGAAATTTGACTGTCCAGTTCAGCAAATTGATGTCTAGGAGAGTAGATGGACTGACGGATTGGGGACTCAATCCACAGTAATGAGAGTGTTGCTCCGATTTGTCATAGTGAAGAGGGGGCTGAGCCAAAAGGCAAAGGCCTCTTTTTACTGCTCCATCTATGTTCCAACCCTCACTTATGGTTATGAAGTATGGAAAGAACAGGTGCATCTTAAATACATGTGGCTGACATGAGCTTCCTCCACATGGTGGTTGGAGATACTTAGAGACACTGTGAGCAGATTTGCCATCTCATTGGGGTCACGGAGTAGAGCTGACTCTCTTCGGCTGCAAAAGGAGTCAGCTGAGGTGGTTCGGGCACCCGATTAGGATACCTCTTTGGTGTCTCCATCTGGAGGGTTTCTGGGCACAAACAATTGGGAAGAAACTCTGAGGCAGACCAAGAACTTGTTGGAGGGATTAAATCTCCAATACGATCACAGATGAGCAGAATATCTGGACCCCCAAGGATATCCTCCTGGACTTGTTGCCTTTGCGATCCCATCATGGATAAGAGAAAACCAATGGATGAATGGTTGTATGATTAATGATGGGTCAGGAAACTGTAGCTCAAATGTAGATGCCTAAAAACGCCCACAGTTTGGTGCACAGCAATGATGTGTAGTACACTACAGATATAAGGCAGCTCTGATGTATGGTTTTAAAAAGTAATAATTTATCTTTAGTGTTCATGGAGCTTTAACACTCTTAGTGGTCTTGTTGGAGAAGCCACCAGTCCTGCAGAACAGTAGCTTATCTGGTCAGAGGGGGAAAAGGAGATAAGACAAAAATTAAAACAGATGTTTGACTTTAAACAAAAGCAGCAGAAACCCTGGTAAAATACACAGCATCTACAGGTTTAGTGCATAATCTCTTGCACATGATTTAGACTTGTACTACATCTTATAGCTTCAAAATAACTGTGTCAGTATGGAATGGATTCATTTCAGTTAAAACAACACTTTATCGATTTGCTTTATAGCCTTTTTAAGATCAAAAGCTTCAATGGTAGTAAATAAACAAAAATTTGAAATTTACAGCTAAGGTTATCTTTCCATAGGAATGTATCATGAAATTTGACATTTAAAGTCTAAGTTAAAACATACTTGAAAGAAAAAAAGTATAAAAACTTGACTGTGTCATATTTATCCCTTTTTTTATTATATTTTTGCAGGAGAGCTCTAATTCTTTGGACTTTGCTGTTCTGCACCTGCTCTCTGCGACTAGCACATGCACAAGGTAAGCAGCTTAAGGGCAGTAAAGCCTAAGTGTTTTTCTTTTCATGCTCTAACACTGCTGAGAAACTAATGTCACAAATGCGCTTCAGAATTATTACGAGAAAATTAAAACTATTCAGCAGGAGGTTATAGTGACACTATCAGATGCCTCATGTGCAACTCAGAGTACTGCAGTTCAGACGCAGATAAAAGTAGAATTTGTTTGCAGATAAGAAGCAGTAAAGCAGAATGGATGAAGAAAGTGTTTCTCTAACATGAGAATTATATTGTGCATTTGATCCGATGGTTATTTATTAATTATAATGTTTATGACCAAAACAATACCTTGGTTAGGTTAACTTTCTATGCCACACATTTCCTTTTTCGCTTAACACATGCTATAGATTGTTAATGTAGATGCTATTATATTTTTGGATAATCATTCTTCACTTTTTTATATAGTAAGTGAAAGAATAAATTGTAAAAGGGCATTCCATTTTATTACAACATGTTGCGTCCTGTCTGAAAACTATTTTAGCAAATTTGTTGTTTCTAGATACACGTCCATAAAAGCTTCAAAACAAGTAAAACTAGAAAGTTCCTGGAGAAACTTTGACAGGGACTGCCATGTGGTGGCCATTTTAAATGTTTGATTTGACAGTACTATGTGTTAGGGTTTGCTCTTATCTACCCAACACCAAATTTCAGCTCAAAATGTCAAAATATTAATGAGTTAAATACATTTTTTTCTTTTAAGCTATGGTGGCTATGTGGGATTTTTGATTTAGATTCAGTATGTGATGGGGAAGGTTCTCAGCTATAATCACACCAAATTTAAGCTCTATATGTGTAAAAATAGCTGAGTTAAATCCTTTTAAATGTAGCTTTGGTGGCCATCTTGAATTTTTTTAAATCATTATTTGTTGGGCATTGCTCTCATCTACTACCACACCAAATTTCAGCTTAATATTTGTACAAATTGCTGATTTGAATATAGCATATTTTACTTTTTAGCTCAGGTAAGCTTGATTTGCAACCAGAGTCTATGAAAAATTACAAAGTACTAATAAAAATTGCATTTTTTGTATGCAAATTACATCGCCATGGTAATTTGAAACGCCAATAAAAGTAATAGCACACATCACGGCGCCGAGCTGGTTGTTTTGATATAAGATTTGTGGGGGTGCACATTACAGTTCAGGCCGCATTATAAATGACGGAAAAGTAGGACATAAGGTTAAGAAGCCCTTGTCAGGCGGATAATAATAGGTGGCTGCCTTACAGGCAAAGAAGCCTTCCTTTAAGGAATGCGTATCACTCGTCATGCTACGACTTCTGTGTTATCTGTTGTTGCTCAGAGTTTGTGTTAGGGATGACTCTCAGCTACTACTACATCAGATTTGAGCTCTGACTCCGTAAACACCAATTTATAGTTTCTTCCATGATTTTGACATTTAACTTCATCCATCCATTATCTTTTATCCGCTTCATCCTTTTCTTTAATCATTCTGGTATTAGAATGTTTAGCTCATTTAGGAGATGGTGCTATGACCTTTATAAATACTTATGTTCAGGTTATATTTTTGTTATTAATAACATTGATGTTAATGTTAAAAGGGACTAATTTTAGATTTAAATAATTAAATGTAATAATTAATTTATATATATATTTTTAGCGTACTGTTAGGTTTTTCCTTACATAATTTTCAGATTTTACTTTGTTTTGTGCTAGTTTTCGGTTTTAGCCATGGTTTTGCTAAATTTAACACATACTGTATAATTGTTTATTTTCTAAACACGTGCTTGCTCTCTGCTAAAGTTTCCTCGTCTAATGTAGTTGTTCTTAAGCCAAACTCGCCTGTATTGTATTTTTAAAATATTCTTTTTTTTTTTTTGTTCTGTTCATCAGGAGTTCATAAAGAGCCTGAGGCAGCCCGCCTACGAACATGAATTAAAAAATGATGCAGAGAAAGCCCAGAGAACATATCACACAATCAAAGAACAATTTTGCTTTCTCACCTTATTAACAATTCAAATGAGCGCTGCAAAGGAAAACTGACTGTAGACGGTCTTTGTTCCTGCTACAGCATTTATTTGATGTATATTTCTGTATGCAAGTTTTTCAGTGGGGCTGGCCTCCTGCTGCCTGAACACAGAGCAGGGTTTCCTTCCTCTTGTGTCGAAACTCGCTTCTCTTCTGCTGAGCCACAATTTACTATTCAGCAGTTTATTTCAGTCCTGCACACATTTGTTTTGAATTTCTGTAGAAATGGATGGATATTTGAGATTTTTATTTGAGCTTTAGGAGGATTAATGTTCCATATTTAGGATGTGCTGATGGACTGGATGTTTGCTTTCTCCCAGCTCTGCCAAGTTAAACTGGAAAACCCTTTGTTAATACTGAGCAGGCATCAGGATCCTTTGCTAATACAGACGATTATAGTCTTACGTCTATAGAAAACTACATAAATATGAGAAGTTTTCTAACATTTTTTGGAGTTGGACTTTCAAATGGCACTGAATGTTACTGTGTTTGAGGCTAAAAAGCCTCAAAGGGATAGTTGGAGAGATAGACAAAATTTATTCAAGCAGGCCAAAGTGTCTTAAAATGTTTCCAATCACAAACGTTTCACAGAATGTGAATGCTATTTTATAAACGTTTGCATTGCTACTTATTTCACATTGAATTGTTACTGTGGAAGGAACACAATATTCCTGCAGGAAATGTCCCAGACGTTCTGAATGACTCTCAGCTACTCACATATCAAGTATTACACTGCCTGCCCCCCCCCCCCCCCCAAAAAAAAAAAAGTCACTACCTGGATTTAACCAAGCAAATAGGTACAAGCCTCCTATTGGATAAGCTGAATTAAAATGAGTGTTATGAGGTAGTTAGCTAACAAACAGACACATTTGATTCCAGTACCTAAAACTGAAATTTAAAACACCTTTCTCAGGTGATCAGTTAGTTCTGGGAGTAGATGTAGGGGATCAGGATCACCTACTACCACATCAAATGTTAACTTAATATCGGTAAAATTGACTCAATTATAGCCTTTTGTGTTTGGTAATATTGTTTTGCTGTGACAACCATCTTGAATTTGATTGGCTCTTAAAACGAAACGTTTATAGATGTGAACTCAATGATTACTTCCTGGAAGTTTCATTAAAATTTGTTCTGTTATTAAGGAGATATTAAATAAACATACACACACACAAACATAAGCAAAAACCTTATCCTCTTGCCTTTGGTAGTGGGCAATATTGCCCTTCCATTTAGAAACTGACAACACTATTTATAAAATGGTTCTTGTGTATGACAATAAAATTGTTGAGTGGAATTTTTTAAAAAGATGGTGGCATTCTTTTATGGTCCTAACCAGGCTTGGATTAGGTGTTAGTTCATTAGTCTGCTTAGATTTCAGATCTGGTTCTTTAGACCAGGGCTATTATTCAACTGGTGGCCCACGGGCCAAATCAGGGCCATGGGTGTGCTCAGTTCGGCCCACCAACGGGTTCATTTTTAAATAAAATTAGATTTAGAATTGTAAAACAAACTTAATTAAGACAATAACTGCTGGATGTCCGGCCCCTGAGCTCTTGGCTTTCAGTAACTGTGCCCCCCTGAGCAGTTTAGTTGAATAGCCCTGCTCTAGACTGAGGTTATTCAAAGAGTTATCTGCAATAGGTAAAATATTAATTGTTCATAATTCCTTCAGAGCTCCACTTACAAAGATATTTAAAAAAAAAAAACCTATGTCCTGTTGTTTTCCCCGTTGTTTTGTCTTGAGAGCCACCAGTTCAGAGTTTACCGTCAGTTTGTTTGTGTGTTAATATGACAAGATTAAAAGTCAAATTATTAAAGCACATATTTTGGACATATGCCACATTAATAATCACTCACCAGCGCACCATTTAAAAAGCAGCTTCAATAATATAATAAAGGATTTAGTGGAAATAAAGCCAGCTTCTTCGCTCCACAGAAATGTGTATTTAATTAAACTTTTCCTCAAAGGTGTGCATCCAATTAGGAGCAATATACAACACACACAGCAACGTAATGTGGGAACATTACTCACATTTTCCTCCCGTGAGACGCGAGTAGCAATTAAAACCTGCAGCAAGCAACCTGCAGTATGTTTTCATGAGCTCGGGCTCCTGTCAGAGGAATCATCTTTAATCGGCAGACATTACCAGATAAAGTGAGATAACATTTCTGTTTGTGCACTCAGAAACCTCTTACATTCCCACAACTGTCTTCTCCGGGGACTCGTTCAGCTTCCGCTTCCTGAGATTGTCCTAATTAAGAATGATGTAAGGATTACATAATATGCAGCAATCCCCAAAAGTAAAGGCTGATGTGTGACCCTACAGTGGGACTTTTATGTGACTTTTTAAAAAATTGCTTTGCTGCAGGTTTTCCATTAGTCTTACTTTATTCTTGTAAACTCCCAGGATTGCATCACAGCACATTAAATATCACTTATGTTTCTGCGGTATTGTTCCTTCCAGTTTATGCTTTCATGGAGATCTACATGCTTGATGAGACGATTTTAACACAAATCGTTAACACATTTTCATCTGTATGTCTCATTAAGTGTTCATATTGAGGGAAAATACAATGTGGCAATTAAACAAAAAATAGATTTAGCAAGAGGCAGCAACTGGTGCAAGCAAATCAGAAATACATGCTCTTTTGTGTTTCACATGCTAAATGTCATTAACATTTGTCTCTGACTTTTTCTTTAAAGATGTGGATATCCTGCAGCGACTTGGGCTTTATTGGCGAAGGGCAGGCTGGTCACCTCAGTCCATTCCTAATGGTGTCATCCCCTTTAAGTCTGGCGTCATCCTCACTCCAAGGGCACGCATCCAGGCGCCCCTGCGCACGGTTATCCCTGCCACCTTCAACACCGCCAACCTCTCCCTGATCCTCAGCCTGTCTCTTCATCGCTTCAATAGCGCTTTTCTTTTCTCGGTTCTGTCTAAGAAAAGGAAAGTGCAGCTCGGACTGCAGTTCGTACCAGGACACGTACTTGTACACGTTGGGCATAAAAGCCATGTGAGTTTTGACTACGATGTCTACGATGGCCAGTGGCATAACTTTGCTTTGGATTTTCGAGGCCGCCAAGTAGCCTTGCACACGTCTTGTGGTAAGAAAAGTCTGTATGTGGATTTGTCCTCTAAAAATGAGGTGGTATTGAATCCAAGTAGCTCCTTCCTGCTGGGCAAAATGAACCACAATTCAGTGCCATTTGAAGGCGCCATTTGTCAGTTTGACATTTATCCCTCTGCTAAGGCAGCTCATAACTATTGTGATTATATTAAGAAACACTGCAGAGAAGCCGACACCTATCGGCCTGTGCTTCCTCCCATGCTACCAGTTTTTTCAGACCCGAATATTACTTTGACTTCCATAAATTCACCGCCATTGACAGAAAGACCCAAAAGGGCACAGCTGACTACTTTGACTAGGACTACAAATCTTCCAACTGAAAGCTCGATGCCGAACAAAACACCTGAACATCAGACGGTAAGCTCTGGTGCTGTTCCTGTTTCTGCCCTAGTTCATCCAGGATTGGAAAGTCCTTTCAGACTTTTAACTCAGACGGTTACGGCACCGCTTTGGATTAGCACGAGTACTCCAAATCCAAAATTAGAATCACACACCAGAAAGTACACAAAGCAGAGGAACTCCTCAAAAGCTTCTGGAAAACATATACTTTCACCTGTTTCCACCAAACCGTCAGAGATGAAAACAAACTTCTGGACCAAGGCTGCTCCCACTCAGGGGTCTCCTTCAAACACCTACAGTCCCCATAAAAATGCGATTACCACAGTAGCTCTATGGAAACCTGAGCCAAAAGTGACCAATGTGCAGGACTTCAAACCATCCACTTCAGTCACTCCAGCTTCAACAGATGGTTTGCAAACATTTGACCTGGCGCCGACCCAGTTCTCACAGCTTGCTGGAGCACCTGGACTAAAGGGAGAACCAGGACCACTGGTGAGTGAGTCGTCTTTTCATTAAACACAATCTTTGCTAAAGATTCATGAACAAACGTGTGCATGTTTGCTGATACTACTGCTGAGCAGCTTATGAATGAGATGGAACCTCAGAACTAGATCAGAACTATCCAGAACTAGGCCAGCATTACTGTATTTTCCAGTGTACAAGTCGCTCCGGTGTATAAGTTGCATCAGTCAAAAAAAGCACCAAGAAGAGGAAAAAAACATATATAAGTTGCCTCGGCGTATAAGTTGCATTTATTATGCATCATCACTGACCTGTCGCATTTATTTAATGGTCAAATTAACTTCATTTCGCCTGGGCGGTGTGGCACCATCCATCCATCACGGCCGGAGCCACTAGCTCTCCAGCGTTCCTCCGCCTGCACCAGCTGAGTGCAGCGAGCATGCACGGGAGGACTCACTGTTGCGGTTCTTAGAAATTTAGAGCATCAGTCAAAAATTGTTATGAATATGAAAAAAAAACCATGTATGTCGCTTTGGTGTATAAGTCGCAGGACTGACAAATCTATGCAAAAAACTGCAACTTATACGCCAGAAAATACGGTAGTTTAGCCTTGACTCAGCACATTTCTGGATCAGCTGATAAACCAGCTTTATTTTATTCCTGTCCTTTTGAATCACGACAAATTCAAATGTTGTTGAATCTCATGAACGGAGTGTTTTGAATTGCTTGTTTTCTTGTGTTGGTTCATTTCCTGAGTTGCAACTTATACATGCATGAGATGCAAAAAAAAAAAAAAAGAATAAAATAAAATTGGACTGCATCACATTGGTGCTGGTTTAATGTGTGATATTTTAGTTTAGTAGTGGAAGAATCACTCAGGGTTCACGGCCTTTTCCACTTAGTGGAGAGGCTGGCAATGAGGTGTTAGATTCCTTCTAGTTGAAGTGTGGCTGCTCAGAAAATACACTTTTAAAGTAGGGCAAAAGGTTAAAGGAATAAAGTGCTCGAATACAAACAAACCATTCAGACTTATTTAAGGGGCCCAAACATAATGGATGCAAAACTTTACTCCTCACTATAAAGCACCCCAGACTTGTTCTGGTAGAAGAGTTAACACCATGTATGTGTGTTAATATGTTTTTTTTTATTATGCAAAAAAAAAAGGCTTAATTTAGATTTACCAAACCAACACTGGTACTTTTTTTTTACGTATCAACACATCAGTGGATATGAGGGTCATGCCTAAGTGGACATACATATATAGATGGCAGTTAAAACCACTTTTTAACTTATCTCTGAAGATAAAGAAATAATTTTTCATCAAAGCCACAACAATGTACTTTATTTGTAAAACACTGTCATCAATTCTCATATTAAAGTCAGTTTAGTTTTCTGCATGTTTTTGTGCCTGCAAGCCTAAAAGCCCTCGGAACCACGGTACTTCATACTTGTGTTCAAAATACATTGAGATCATTGGTCAACACATCTGTCCACGAACCTTATTGTGAGGAGTGATAGGGCAATCTGCATGCGTGTCTATTAGCTCAGCTTCATAACTCGAATGCCACACTGTCTGCTCTTTGAATTGAGAAAGCTCCTCGGATGAGAAGCGAAACATATTCTGTACAAATAAAGTCCACTTCATTCAATCATTCAACCTTTATTTTTACAGATTAGTCTCATTGAGCCTCATTGAGCCTCGGGGACTCATTTACAAGAGAGACCTGATTTTGAACAAAGAATGATAACAACAGTAGACAACAAAGCCAACAACAGAATCATAAAAGATAGCAAGTAAATTTAAAATAATAAATGAAAGAAAAAAGAAAGAAAATGGTATGAAACTAATAAAAAAACAGCTAGATTGTAGAGCGATGTAGAATACTAGAATACTAAAAACAGGAACATGACTTACATTTTTCATTCATTCAACCGTTATTCATTCAACCTACATTACTTATATAAATTGTAAAGAGAGTGGGTCCTAAGACTCAACCTTGTGGTATACCATTATTGACAGTTGAATAGCTAGAAGAAGCTAGCTTGGCTTCTGTGTCCCTTTTATCAGACGACTGGAGTTTTGATAAAGCTCAACAACATTAGTTGTTTTTTGTCTTGAACCGTTTTGAATTTACCGTGTCCTGGATGACTGCGAATCTTCACCAGCGTATTCACATTTAAGTCAAACAGGTGATGAAAACAATGGCTTCTTAACTACCTGGTTAAAAAAGTCTAACTAACTCTTGGCATTCTGTTATTTTCTTTCTTTGTTTGAGATTCTAATAGCAGTATTTATTATTTCTTGTAGATTCATTGGTGCAACATTTTGGCTAAGATATATGTCTTGATGCTTGTGTAGTTAGTGATCAGCAGCATTTACAATCAGCATGACATATAAGTCACATATTACCAATTAAAGTGGTATTACAGTGATTATCCTGGTTAGGGATTTATGAGTCTAACTTTAAATTTAACTTAGTAACTTTTGGCACATTAGAGCTTTAAAGATGGTAAACGTTTATATGCATGCAATGATTTTTTTACCGTTTACAAAACTGTATTTTGACTTAGCCGCATCCAACATCAAATGTGCTAAAACCTCTCAAGTCTCTCTTCAGAAAGACATCCAAACATTTAGATAGAAAACATTTTCATGTTCAATGCTGTGATGTCATCTGTAAGTAAAAGATTGCAGACTTTGAACATTGTCAAATGCTTAGTGATCTAAATCTTGTTTTTAGGGTTTGAAATGAGCTTGCTCCTCCACTATTAGTATGTTGTCCAGAAATATAAATACCAAGACCTCAACCTATAGAGGGGACTGTGTCATAGCAAGATGGAGAGTGGAATTAGGGTGAAAGGTGTCATCAATCAGAGAAACACGTGGATTAAACTGATACATTGAGACAAAAACATCATTTGCTGTGGCTGAGTTTTTTTTTTTTTGACAGACAATGATGTAAAAAAAAAAAGAAAAAAGAAAAGAGTTCAACAATAATATGTTTACTACGGAGCCCTGGAGGGGACATTGGAGATTTTTTGTTGTTGTTGTTGTTTGTTTACAGTATTGGCTAAGCAAGTTCCCCCGAGACATCAATTTCAAATCGACAATCTGTGGAAGGCCTGGATCAATCAGGGTTTGATCCACAAAAACCCTGCCTCACAGTAAGGTCACAGAGGGTCTGCATCTCATGGTTTGGCACCAGAGACAGCAATAGATTTTTAAAATGTTCAAAGATGCCCATGTCTTGAGTACTTTTAGGTAGCTAAAAAGGAAACACACTCAGTTAGTGGCCATAATGTTATGGCTGAATGGTGCATGTAGCTACATTTTGAAACGCCTTGGCTCTGACCCAACTGCAGCTCGGACGGATTATCATGTGCGCGATGTTGGCTGAAATCTAAAGAATCTGAACGTTGCTGGTTCGAGCAAATGCTGGCAGAAGGGAAATATACGGATAGATAGGTGTTCTGTCCAAGCCACACAAACTGCTCTATACAGCTGATATTAATACAGAAGCCCAGTTTCAGCAGGACTCCCTTGAGCTGTTTTTCAGCTCATTTTCCTCTTACTCTTTAAATTTCTTGAGCTGCCAAAAAAACAAAAGCAAAATACAACCCCAGGATCTCAAACAGAATCAGGTTCTCAGATTGACCCTTCATTAAAAGTGACCTCTTGGAGCTTTGCTAATCCATGTATGAAATTGTTTTAAAGCTAGCCGCTGCTCATATTTAATATGATTGGCTGTGGCTGGAACCGGTGGTGACCTCCCTGCCAGCAGAATAACTTAGACGTACGGTTTGTGCTCTGTTGTGAATTTGGAGCTGAAATAATGTCCGCTGAAGGACAGGCTTATATCAGTTTGTAACAAGACACCCTCATGCCTGGCAGCATCTTAGTGATTGCTTTGAAACGTTCATACTTCCCTCAATGTGACATAAGGGGAAAAAAAAAATGCTCTGAGATTTCTTGAGTGCCTTCTCTGAGGATTATTCAGAAAACTGGAAACGTGTTCTTAGTTATTCCAACATTTCTTTAAATAATATGAAGAATGCAGCCGTTCTTATTGCTCTTTTGCATTGACAGACCTCCTTCACTAATGACACTTTTTTTTTATCCATTGCTTTCAGGGCCCTCAAGGATTTCTAGGCTTGCCAGGAAAACCAGGCAAGAGGGGCCCCAGGGTAAGAATATCTCACTAACTAGTGACAGTTTCTCATTTACCTTCAGATTGGTCCTTTTTTTCCTGTCTGTTCTTCTCAGTTCTCTTTTGAGATCTTCTATAATCACTCTAGTCTCGGATGTTTTCACCAAAGTTAGACAACACTATTATTCAAGCGCCGATTTAGGAAAATAAAATTGTGTTTTAATCAGAAGCTCACATGCTTCTTTAAGTTGTGGGGAATTATTTAGCCAGACCTCGGTTTGCTTTGGCCCTGGGTTTGATCAAGCCATGCTTCACTGCTGCCAAGGTCAATTTGTAAATCTTTCGTGCAAACAACCAGAATCTACAAATCTGTGGACTGCCTGTGTAAAATTAATTGAATACATTAGGAAAGCATTAAAGTTAGAAAAAATAACAATGTTACTGCTATCAGTGTGTATTTACTGCACATGTTTCCAGAACAAGTGTATGTAAACATAAACATTTCTGGTAATTTAATAAGATACAGGCCTCATGTTAATATCTTGAGTATTGAACTTCTTTTAGGTCCTATGGTGCCATGCTTTCCTTTTTTTGCTTTAAACTAGAGAAATTGCATTTCCTGCAAAAATGCAGTGTGGATGCTTATTGCAGAAGAACTTGCTGGAAAAAAGCTTTAATTAGCTAAAAATACTGAACTGTAGCTGAAATGGAAGAACAAGCCTCATTTAGCAGAAGAAAGCAGAAAGAACACATATTTGCTGAATTAGATTTAAATGAATAGAAGTGAGCACAAAAAAAATGGAAATTAGCTAAAAAAAAAAGAAGAAGCTGAAATTAGCAACAAAAAAAAAAAATTGCTGAAAAGTACTGAAAAAGCAGAAAGAAGTTTAAACTACCAGAAGGAAGCAGAAAGAGTTGAAATGAGCACAAAAATGTGGAATTACATGAAAAAGCTATAAAAAAAATAGCATCAAATGAGCTAAATAGTAGCTGAAAGAGCAGACAAAAGCTGAAACTTTCAGAAATAAGGTGAAAGCAGCATAAAAAGCTGAAATTAGTTGAAAGAAGTCAGAAGCACAACAATGTTGTAGTTAGCAGAAATAATCTGAAAGGAGCACAAAACAGCTGAAGAAAAAGCTGAAATTAGATGAAAATAGTTTAAATTTGCACAAGGAAGCTGAAAGAAGCTGAACAAAATGTGAAAGGAGCAGTACAAGGTTGTAAACAGATCTAAAATATTGAAGGATGTAAAATGAGCTCAATTCATTTTCTATGAGAAAAAAAGTGGCTGAAAAGGCAAAATATTCCAACAAGCTAAAGTTGCACTAACACCAAAAAATCATAGCAGGATTGTCCTGAAAGAGCTGAACGTTTGGATATATGATTTGTTGAAATAGCTTGAAAACTGCGGGACGAGAACGATGTCGAAAAACGTACGAAAGAAAAATGGATCGCAACAGTGTGATTGCTTCATAAGTGTGATGTGTCCAATGATGGAAACGAACATCAGCAGCTTCTGTGCAGGTGTTGTTTTAAGCTAATGCTTGCAGAATAAAGAAAAGAAGAGCAAACACCAGGGCATGATCTGCCTCAAGAGACACTATTACTGATGCTTGTGTAGCTAGCTGCCCTGTAAAACCCCTCTTCTTCTCCTTCCCATGAATGTGAATGAAGCAGAAGTTAAGCCTGTTATTTCAGTGGGGGGGAATGACAGTCTTGATTGCTCTTTTGCAGAGCTGATTATTATGCACGCCTGCAGAGCATTTGTGCTACTGAGGCATGTGTCCGTTCCTGCTAGGCTACCTGCTGCAGCCCTGCTGCTGGGCCTCTGGGGTTGGTTTTGTGAACCCAGGCTCTTTAAATATGGAAGAAAGGAGGCTTTGTCCCAATCTTATTAAAGGCATTTAAACCCCTGCTCAGTAGCTGTCTACTGTACGCCAAGCTCTGCAGACCATCATCATCAAGCTGAGAGACTGACTCAAGTGTGAGGAGAAAGTTTAGGTTTTTTACTGTTTTTATTTTATTTTATTTTTTTTCCTTTACTACTGTTTTTATTTTTGAATCATCAAATCTCCTCTGAACAGTGACTGGTGGTACTCTACCTTCAGTAAGTTCACAAGTGGACTTTGGACTAAAAAAAACCTGAAACATCATGGAACAAAACAAAATTCACATGATGACATATTTACAGTTCACTATATTTTAATCTGCAAAATATTTGCTTTTTTGGGCCCAATTTTATGTTTACTTGTCAACAATATACACACTGCGTACAAACATTTATTTTACTTTTATTAAAAAAACAGGCTGTCTAATGTGAAAAGAAGGCCGACTGGAAAACATGTGTACTAGAGTAATTTACTAGTTATGTCGAGTTGAAATGATCTTTATTGTTGAATTTCATAGGAAGAGACTCATGGAAATATGTCACATATTTTACATTTTAATGCTATGCAGCTCAAAAGAACATGTGTGATATTCTAAACATAAACACATT